TCTGATTGAACTAGCCAAGGTTACATTAGAGAACTGATACTGAACTAGCCAAGGTTACATTAGAGAACTGACTGAACTAGCCAAGGTTACATTAGAGAACTGATACTGAACTAGCCAAGGTTACATTAGAGAACTGATACTGAACTAGCCAAGGTTACATTAGAGAACTGATACTGAACTAGCCAAGGTTACATTAGACAAGTGATACTGAAATAACCAAGACTACATTAGACAAGTGATAAAATAAATGTGATTTTAAAACATCAGTTTATTCAACTTTTTTAATGACGTACAACACTTCAAAGCAGTTAAGTTAAATAAAGAAAATGATATGTCTCACAGTAAGCAAGCAGCATTATTTTTATATGATATGAGTTGTTAGTGTACGCGTGTTACTTGAAGTTAGGTGCAGGGATTACAAAACACTACATGTTCAACTCAATTTATTTTATGAACATTGTCCAACATGTATCAGTTATTCTTTAATAAATAACACAAAAAAAGCAAAATACAACACATACACTTCTTTATCAGCATCCCATAAGCTGGCCCCTTCAACTATAGCATCTCCAGTGGTAGGCTATGAAAACAAATAAACATAAACGTTGGTTTTGTGCACAAACTCATTAAAGTCTCAAACATTGCAGGTAAGATGGCTTACTCCTTGCTTCGTGTTAGACATATTCTCACGTGCTTAAGCTTCTATTTTTGGAACAAAAATACTTGAATATACCAGTTGTGATTGTGTGCTAAAAAACTATTCAAAATTTGAGTTCAAAAGAAATGACTTTATAAATCAAATTTAGTTTAACTGAATAAACCATCTTTCCAATCGTTACCAAAAGCAGTGCATTGGGAAAAATGTATTAAAACCTGGAATTTTACAAAACATGCAACATAAAGATAGCCAAACATACAACAAACAAAGTGCTTAACATGTGCAAAACTTAAAATATACAGTGCAAGTTTTCCATACAAAGAAACACATAAATAACTTGACTGATGTTGCAGGAATTTTAAATAAGTGAAAATATTTCAATACAAGTGTGCTTTAATACTATTAATCTTAAGGATTAGGACTGTAGAAATGTTGATGTTGGCAACAGAGCTGGTAAACCCAGTATCACATGTTAGATGACAGAATCTTATATGTTAAACTTTCACATGTGTAAAACACATGTAAGATGACAGAATGCAAGTTCTGTAATATTTATATTTAACCGTCATATCTAAAGTCACTTATCCTTATGCTTGGTATTTTAAAAACTTACAATCTCTTCATCTTGAACACATTTCAAGAGATCCACATGGATGCCACACTTGTGTTGTAGGTTAGTGAATCTTTCAGAGGTTGCCTCAACCTGGTGACTTAAATCTTGGTTTTCACACATCACACTCGCCGCAGAAAGCTGTTCTTCACCTCTCGAAGTAAAAGGTTCCGAAGATAACATCAGTGCAGACTGCTGCAGTTCTTTTAGAACAGGTTCCCAACACTCGATTTCGTGCTTGATTTCCTGCAAACAATTTTACTACTTTTATACACATGTTACAGTTGTAGGGAAGGATGTTGAATAGTGTAAAGAAATATTTTTAAAAGTGTAAATTTAAATCATAAAGATAAAAAATGCCTAAAATATGAGAGAAAAATATCCAATAAAACAATGTTTTTATACTGATAATGTGGCATCATTAGCTGATGATGCCAAGTTAACAGTGACAAAACATTGATTTATTGGATATTTCTTTTATCACATTTTAACTGTTTTTTGGATTTTTCAAACTTTGTGGTGTGTAAGATACCTCCAGCATCTCCATTTATAGTTAAACTTTAGTGTTAATCAGTCCAATTTTTACTGTTGTTCTTACATACAGAGTCTGGAGTCACACTTGATTTGTTAGTCTCGTATACATTAATAATGAAACAAGGTGTTAGACAAATGTTATTTTACCACAATTTAGTATATTCTTAATGGTTATAAGCCAGACCCAGGAAATACACTCTTCATTGGAGAAGGCCTGAAAGATGTACTCTTGACAAAGTGTGCCACAGAAGTACCTGGGCTATTTGCCAACCAAGAGAAGATAGCACTTGCCTGTTTTTGCATGCTGCATCCAGACAATACAAAAGGCTGATTACACAGGCCTGCAATGGTTTTATTGTCTTGAAATTTTTACATGTTGTACAGTAATTTCTGTAGGCTGAATACAAAAATGATATCTATTTTTCTCCATCACATACAGATTTTTCACAAAACTTCATAATGCAAATATATAAAAGAAAGAACACAACATAGAGTTTTGAAACTAAAATACGTAAACTTTACAAAAAAAATCAGGATGAATGAGGATGCATATTTGTTTGGCATCAGTGGTCTTCCCATTTTTTGGTTTGTTTGTATTTTTGTTAACAAACATAATAATAAAAAAAATGTACATTGTGGTAAACGAAATAATAATTTAATCTAAGTATGGGTTTTTTTCTTCCCAATTTGTAAAGAATCCTTAAGTGATAGCTGAATTATGGAAAATTAATTATTAAAACCAAAATAACTTTTATGAAGTTTAAATTCACAGGCCTGTGTTATCGACTCATCATAGTCTGATGTTGGTAAACAATGTGTACACTTCTTTGAACCATAGACTATGTTAAGGACTTTGGCTGAAAACTGGGGTAAAGAACAAAAATGGTTAATATCTCTCATCAATGTAATATGTTCTACACTGACAGCTCAGCAGCGTGATATGTTCTATACTGACAGCTCATCAGTGTAATATGTTCTATACTGACAGCTCATCAGTAGAATATGTTCTACACTGACAGCTCATGGGTGTAATATGTTCTACACTGACAGCTCATGGGTGTAATATGTTCTACACTGACAGCTCATCAGTGTAATATGTTCTACACTGACAGCTCAGCAGCATAATATGTTCTACACTGACAGCTCATGGATGT